AATGCTGGAAGTTGCTTAGGGACAAATAAGTGCTGAGTTCCCACTCTTAAGGGTTAGAATTTAACAAGAGAAAGAGAGAAACAACAACAACAAAAAAAAAAACCTAGGCCCATGGCTCACTTGGTCTAAATTCACACAAAAAAGCGTGTAAAGGATTCCACGGTAGTGAAAGGATTCATTTAAAAGAAAAGAGAGAGAGAGAGAGAAAACAGTGTAAAGGAAAGAATGTCTCCTTTGCCACAGCTCAAGGCTTCTGAAGACATGTTTAACTGGAGGTCATTGATCTGTCCCCAGGCAAGCATGGGCTTGAAATGACAGCACTTGTGGAGAAAGTCTAAACCATAATTAAGTGTTCCATCCTAGACAGAAGCATATTCACTGCCCAGCACAGAGAAATAAGCAAGTCTATTCAAGAAGAGAAAGTTTCAGTTCTTCCTCTCAAAACCCCAATGGGTGACAGCTGGGTGGGGATTTCACTCCATACAGGATTGGCATGTCCTGGCTTCCATCCAAAGCAACACACAACACGCACAACTGGTTGTGGTGCTGTAGATCTATAGTCCTGCCACTAAGAATGTAGAGGTAGGAGGATCAGAAGTTCAAAGCCACCTTTGGGGACATGGCCAAATCAAGGCAGCCTGGCCTGCATGACATGACCCTTACTTAAAAAAAGAAATCCCATAGATTATCTTCAGCCAAATATAAATTCATAATAAAAACATTACTTCGTATGTGAAAGAGTGAATGAAATTAAATTGAAAAGACAAAAAATATATTGGATTAATCGGAGCCAAATATTAAGTAATTAAGATAGTTAACAAAATAACAAAAATTGGGCAGGGAATAAATGACTGTAACTAGTGCATGTTTATGAGAGAAATTAGTGTATTTTCTTCATGAATGAGTAAAAAACAATGATGCAGAAAACTATAATGCACAAAATGCTATCCCAGATATCTCAGAGAAAACTAGAAACCAACTCTCTGGAAGTCAGAAACACGATGGGGTTCAGAGCACAAAGATGCTTCTCAAAAATATGTGCACCATGTCCTGGGCATGTTTTCATGGACCTGCCTCAAAGACAGTATTTGGGTCTGAAGACTGGTCAGCATTTAAAAGTCACACTTCTCTTGCAGAAGACTCAAGTTCAGTTCCCAGGATCCACGTCAAGTGAGTCACAACTACCTATGACTCCAGCTCCAGGGGATCTTATGCTGCCTTCTGGTCTCCACAGAAACCATATGCACACACACACACACACACACACACACACACACAATACAATGAGATTACAAGAAAGATGGAAATTAAAGGCAATAGGGATAATTTATCAGTACATCAGTTACTCTTCCAAGTCCTGGGGCCAGCTATACCAATATTCCAACAAACCTCTTCTAGACTCTGACCTAAGAACTTTCTCTACCATTGGGCAGCAACTGACACTGTGGCAGCAACTAAAGCAGGTATCCCACCCCCATGGTGTTTCCCCAGGAAAACTGGGCTAAAGCACTCTGACCAGGAAATCTGTTGAGGAATAAGATTTTAAGGTGTGTGACTTTTGTTTACTCTGCATTTGTTTAACTCTGTGAAGCTGTGATTCTTTGCCTGTCTAAAACACCTGATAGTCCTAATAAAGAGCTGAACAGCCAATAGCAAGGCAGGAGCAAGCAGGTGAGGCTGGAAGGCAGAGAGTATAAATAGGAGAGAAGGCAGGAGCAAGAGAACAAGGAGAGAGGACATCAGGAGCCAACCACCCAGCAACCCAGCCAGCCATGGAGTAAGAGTAAAAGTAAGATATACAGAAGAAAGAAAAGGAAAAAGCCCAGAGGCAAAAGCTAGTCTGGATAATTAGTTAAGAAAAGCTGGCAAGAAACAAACCAAGCTAAGGCCAGGCGATTATAAGAAAGAATGAGAGTCTGTGACTGCTTTATTTGGCAGCTGGGTGGTAGGCCCCCAAAAAGTCCAAAAAGCCAAAGAGTAAAAGAGCAAAAGTATCACACAACAGGAATTCTCAAAAGCCATGGCTTATAGGGACTTCAAAAGAGGGGTCCCCAGGGACTACTACCAAGGCTATCAACAGCACTCTAATAGAAGAAGAGGGAGCTCTGGGAGCTAAACACATGGCTACCAGCTGCTCCAACCCCTCTGAGAACTCAGTAACTCTAGCTGATTGGGGTTTGCCTCAGCATCCACAGCCTACAAAATGGTCAAGAAAACCCCATGTTCAAGAGGACTGGGAGCCTTCAAGAAGAACAGAATAATGGGAAGAGTGAAGAGCAGCACAGTATACAATCAGGACCAGGAAGAAGGAAACACAGCAGTGACTGGCCAAGAGAGGAGATCTACTATTGTGTAATGTTTTCTCTTTTGGTTTGCAGTGGTGGTGCACGCCTTTAATTCCAGCACTCGGGAGGCAGAGGCAGGCTTTTCTCTGTGAGTTCGAGGCTGGCCTGGTCTACAGAGAGAGTTCTAGGACAGGCTCCAAAGCTATACAGAGAAACCCTGTCTCGAAAAACCAATAAATAAATAAATAAATAAATAAATAAATAAATAAATAAAATCTTCTCCCCAAGTATGTATTATTTTGTTAGAGCAACTGGAACAGACAAAAGCACATATATAGTATCATGGTTTGAGTAAGAATGGCCTGCATAGGCTCATATATTTCAATGTTTGGTTGTTAGGGAGTGGCACTACTTGAGAAGGATTAGGAGGTGTGGCCTGGTTGGATAGGTGTGGCCTTGTTAAAGCAAATGCATCATTGGGGTAGGCTTTGAGGTTTCAACTGGCTAAGGCAATCTCAGTGTCTGTCTCTTCCTGCTACCTGTGGATCTGATGTAGAACTCTCAGCTACTTCTCTAGCACCATGTCTGCCTGCATGCTGCCATGCTCCCCACTGTGATGATAATGGACAACTGTATGCCATTCCCAGTTAAATGCCTTCCTTTATAAGAACTGTCATGGTCATGGTGTTTCTTCACAGCAATAGAATACTGACTAAGACACACAGCTAAAGAGTCATAAGGCGGGAAGTGCTCTGAATAAAATAGTCACAGTCACAGAGGGTCAGGGACAACAGCGTGGCATTGACTTCTTCTGGTAGAAGCCTGAGTGAAAACAGCAAGTAATTCCTGGAATATCCAAATTCATTCTATGACTAGGGGAGAACTCAGGTTAACACATCTAAGCGTAAAACAATGAAAAAAGCAGAAAGGCAGACCTGACATTTTTTGTAAAGAAAAAAAAGAAAGTCAGCTTCCTGTTATGGCAGGATAAGTCATGGGACCTGAAAATCACATAGACACAAACACACACTCAGGTGGATCTGTGCCAGGGAAAAATACAAATCCTTACCACACGAGTTATATGCCCAGATAAGGGCTGGAGCTACCAACAAGCTTTCAACACAAGAGAAATTAACCCCCAGGTCACAAAGGGACAGAAAGCAAGTTTTCTTCAGGGTTCTGACCATCTGTAAAAGTGAAAATGCATTGGCAGAATATCTGGATATCTAAACACAAAACAATGACAGGAAGTCTCAGGTTCTATCCCAACCCTGAGACAGAATAAGCTCTGTTCCTACAGAGACAAAGCGGGAGTCCCCCCTTCCACTCTCCAAAAATCAGTCTGAATAGATGGGATGAAGTTAGGAATACTTGGGTATAATTTACTTGACATTAAGTAGCCTTTGGTTACATAAAACACACATTTAAAGTACATACAGCAATTGAAAATCCTATTCTTTGCTTAGAAAGGTGGGGAGTATTTCAATACACTTGTATCTACACACAGCAAGTTCTTTCAAGGTTCAGTTTGTACATACTCTGTCAATAACATTAAAAATTAAAGGCAACTGTTGAAATGGGGGCCTTTTGCCTTTCTTGAGCAATGCATGATTATTTACTGGAAAGTGTGGAAGTGAACATTGGCAAAAATACCATAAAGATGAGTTTGTTCAGTGGGTTCTTAACTTTTTCTAGAACTGTTTCATTCTCTTTGAGATCATTCATTGTATATATTTGTATCTCTGGTAAATTTGTAGTTAACTTAAATCTATTAAAATTGGTAAAAATGAGCAGAAACCACTACAATTCTGGAGAAACAAGGCTGCAAAAAGAAGTTGTCATGTTGCCCTTTAGTTTTTCTTGGGTTTCTCAGTAATGTGTCACAGAGTTTGGAAGGGTGACTACTGCTCCAGCTGACCACATCCCAACATCCCAGGGTCTCTGCAAAAGTTCTCAAGAGTGTGTGCTACAAGTTTCCAATCTAGGGGTGCATTTTTTGTGTGTTTAAGTGACATTTAGCACCTTTTTTCAAACTTTCAGTGTCTCCTGATGCAGACGACCTACCCTGTTCTGATGAAGGTAGGAAGGACTTTAACAATAATTTTCACTAGCCATGGGATCACTGCAGCCCTGGCCAGGCACAAAAACACTGTTGTAACTGAATGTTTTGCATTCCTGTTCCCCTTATCTGGTCCTGTAGAAACAATCTTGATTTCTAACCATTCAAATCCCAATGAAAAGGGTAACAAAATCACCAATAACCATATTTAAATATGTATGAATGAATATAATAAATACCTTTTCAAAATCAATATAGCAGGTACAGGAGATGACCTAGGACTTTTAATATCTGAGGTTTATAAATAAAGTATATTAGGTTTTTTTTTTTTTTTTTTTTTTTTAAAGGGTAATGGGCTCTCAACATCGGGAAGCCATCTATTGCTCAGGATTATACACAGATGATGCTAAGTACTACGTCGAGCATCCCATCATGTTTGCCTCCTTTCTGTGTAAATGAAGGATGGGGACTCAAGAAAAAGCCTCTAGTTCCCAAACAGCTCTGGATGTGGCTAAAAGGAGGGCACTTAGCAACAGGGGGGAAATGACGAGAAGGAAATAGTTTTGTGTCTGGGAGCCATGTGGAATTCCAAGATAAGAAAAACAGTTGCTAATTCGAGTATAAAAGCAGGAAACATGATACACTTGCTTCCTTCTATGTAAACACAAGTATATGTGGGGTTGCGTGAAAATTATTTTTCTCTCGCTCAACCACAAAGACATAAAGTCAAACTGCTTGTTTTGGATACACTGGCTTCTTCTTCTTTTTCTTGTGGATATTATGGCTAATAACACAACGAGTTTAGGGAGCCCATGGCCAGAGAACTTTTGGGGTAAGCTACCTTTCCTTCACTGCTTTTAATTTAAATTAAGATGCACCGATATTCTCTGCATAGTTTATTACAACATTGGAGAGCTCTGAATTGCTTGCCATAACTCGCTAGTTACAGTTTTCTTAGATTTATTTCAAGAAATATACTCATAAAAATGTTGTCAGAGTTAGCTACAGAAATATTAAAGAAGGATTAGACATAGAAAGTTTGGTTGGTATTTTAAAAACTTAATTAAAAACGAGATATTTTTTAAATTAGAAATTTAGGAGAAATATAAAGGAGAAGTCATTGTTAAATGGAATATAACATAGGGTTTTGTTGGAAAACTATATTTTATTTGCCTGAAGGTGATGGATAATGTATTTTGTTTCATGAAACCAAGGTGTTCTACAGAGGGTTTTGAAGTCTGTGCTTTTGTCTATGTTATTTCCTTATAATTTCCAAAGTCAATTTAGACAACAAGACTATGCTTGAATGAACTTTGACTATGGTGACAAAGATAAAATGTGGATTTAAAAATGAAATTATGAATCTAGAAAAGATGAAGCATGAATAACTTTATATTATTACAAAGGAAGCTTGTCACAAAAGGAAGAGAAACAATACCAAAGTGTGCTTTGGCAGAAGCTAACAGCAACTCAAGATCTAGTGTTCAGTGATGCTAAGAGCAGGAAGGTGCTGAGGTCAAAACCACCCACTCCAGGCCAGATTTAGGATACAGGATCTGGGGTGTGCAATGACATTGACATGTCTCTGTGGTTCTGAGAAATTTAAAAGTAAAGGGAATAACTTAAGTTAAATCCCTAAGGACCTTTGAAGGAACTCTGGAGTTTATTGAGAGATCTATAACCCTATTATGTGCAAGGTGAGTTTTATCAGAAAACTGCACCAAGCTTCCTGCTGTGATTGGAGATACACAATTGGCTTCGGAAACTATTTGGTAAATACTGAACAGTGACAGCCACCTGGCCCTGACAATCTGACTTAGTTACCAGTTATCACAGGTATTGGCATGAAAGGAATTAACTAAATATTTTTTATTAATTAGTAGGCTTGCTTCAAGCTTTAAGAGATTTATTAATGCTTCAGTAATAACATTGCATAACAAAATAAGTGAAAAACAAGTTATTCCTACAGATTCTAGGTAGACATCAAGAGACAAGAAACCTTTGAATTCTGGATGGCCTAGTGGTACATTTGTGAAAATTACTTTACTGACCTCATTTATATTAAATGATGGGAAAACAGCTAGAATGCATCAAAGTAAATTCATCATCACAAAACAATTGTAAATTATTCCAAAGTAAGTAATTCCAAGTATAAAAATAAACACAGGAAAGCAAGTTCTGTCTTTTCAAACTATTCAAGTTAATCTCCACATTTACCTAGGAAAAAGAATTCATTTTTTCATTGGCTAGAGCACAGATTATTTGGAGTTCATTTATTTATCCTAGCATTTAGATGTCTTAATAAGGAAATCTGTGCTTAACAGGGAATTCAAGATACCTATGTCAAAGGTAGATATCAATGTCCCCTTCTCTTGGCATGTAGATATGTTAGAAGATAAAATGAGATGGAGAGAACCAAGAGGCTGTTTTATTGCTAAATACTTTTGAACCAAAGCAAAACAAAAATGGTGAGCCAAAAATATGTTTGATGCTTTGGGTGAAAGATTACATTATTATTTCTAGGATAAAAATATCAAGTATAAAGTGTAACTATAAATTTAGTGTATGAAATGTAAATGTTTCCTGACATATAAATGTCAGTCTTTTCTATTTTCATTTCTGATTTGCATCTAAATTGCTTTCTATTTTGATCTCTGGTCCTCTCAATATATTAATTTGGAAAATCATGCACAGTGCAATAGAATATAGCACCTGCCTCCAAAAGGACACCTTTGTGTAGCCCTTTGAGTTAAGAGAATAAATAAAACTGGCAGAAACTATCACAACTCACATAAGGAGCCATAGAAACTTCTCAAACTTAGGATACGGAGATGCATAAAAACTCAAAATATAACTTTCTGGTTTGCTTAAGGAATGCAAGAAAATTAAGTAATGATACTCAGTTACTACAAACAATGATAGCTTGCATTTTTTCAAATGCAAGCTATCACTTTTTTCAAAGCTATCACTCAGTCAAGCCTACTAAAAGCTCAAAAGCCATTGATACTAGCTACGCAAAAGTGGCCTGAGACTGACAACAAAGATGACTCCACCTTGCATACCACCTCTACTCCTCTACTCTGTTTAGTGCACATCCCTTCTCTGTAAACCATTCCATCAAGGCAGCAGGAGATCCTCAAAGTCTACTGAGCTGACAATGTCATGGATACTCATACGTTCTCTCAATAATTGAGAGTCCACACATGACACTTGTGTTTCTCTCTGCTGTCTTCTCACTGGGCTGTTGTTGTTGATTTTCCATCCGTTTAGCTAGCACTGTGAAAAACCGAGATAGAATATTGGTGTATGGGCTTGCATTTACTCATCGAATCGATCCTCCCCCAAAATACGATTTCTCTTTTAAAAGGATTTCATTCTGGGAGGAGATTAGGTGTTCTCGAATATGCAAATAGAAGCCTATAAATAAATCAATAAATAGTATCAATAACTTCTGTTTTGTCATATGTAATCATCATTTTACACAAAATGACCAAGAATGGAAATGTGCTATAGAAGTTAAAATATGAAACGGTCCCTGAATCATTTTTAGAAAAAACAGGCTATTACCTAGTCCTAGAAAATCAAATATGTTCCAAATAAAAAGAAAATTCTAAGGATAACATTCTGGTCATTCATTTCTGACGCGTTAACTCAGCCTCTTCCAATAAATTTCTTCCCTCTGAAGCTTTGGCTGGCCTCATTAGGCAACATATCAAGATGATACAGATAAGATGCTGTCTGAGAATTTGAGAATTTTTGGGCACTCAGGAGAACTGTTATCAGCAATTGTGTGAAGGAAAAACACTAGGATATGTGTGCAAAGAAGCAAATGGCGAACCAGAACATCTATATGTGGAGATTACAGGGACAGAACTGGATCAGAATGGAGGCAGAAGTCTTTAAGATTCTGAGTAGCATTGTAGAAGCTAGAGTTACTGTGACAAACTCTTGCACTGCGGTGACTCTAAGGCTCCTCTTCCCCACTCCTTAAAGAGTTTTTCCTTAAGGTTGCAAATAGCTTGTGGGAGCTGAGGATGATGGTGACTTTGGGTACCAGAGTAGACCAGGAGTCCTTGATCAAGGTCCTCTGCTGACATCTACTGACAAAAGTGCCTCATCTACTCTGGGGATATTTCTCTCCCTGTCTTCATTGTTGGAGCCCTTAACTGAAAAGCCAGGTTCTTGAGATCTGTGCACTTCTGACTAAGAACAGAAATATTCTCTTTTGTGAGACTCTCTAGTTGATCTACTGACTCTCATTCCATTACTTTCCCGTCTATCTCAAAGCAGAGAGCCACTTTAACATTCTCCTATAACCCTGGAACTTTGGAAGCCTGATTGTTGTTCTGAACTTTCTGGCACCCAGTGCTGCTGCTGCTGCTGCTGCTGCTTCTGCTTCTTCTTCTTCTTCTTCTTCTTCTTCTTCTTCTTCTTCTTCTTCTTCTTCTTCTTCTTCTTCTTCTTCTTCTTCTTCCTCTTCCTCTTCCTCTTCCTCTTCCTCTTCCTCTTGTTTTGTTTTTTGAGACAGGGTTTCTCTGTGTAGCTTTGGAGCCTCTCCTGGCGCGCGCGCGCGAGACCAGGCTGGCCTCGAACTCACAGAGATCCGTTTGCCTCTGCCTCCCGAGTGCTGGGATTAAAGGCGTATGCCAACACCCGGCCCCAGTGCTTCTTATAAGGGCCTGTGAGCCTCTCTACATCTATCAACCAGGAACCTAAGAGTGGGAACCAGCTACTGAGACTGCAAAAAGGATGGAGGGATGAAGGAATGGACTCTTGCCCCAGAGCCCTCATTGCTCATATACCATAAAGCTCTTGTCTTTCTCTCCCCCAAACTTCTCTTTACACTGTTCATGAAAAAAAAATCATGCAGGCAATATATTCTCTTTCCTGCTATTGTTCATGGCAAAAAAATATAATTTTGAGTTCTTTAAGTTTCTCGTGTTTTGAAGCTGAACCAGAAAAAGAAACAAACCATAAATAATGTATCGGTTATAAAACACCCCATTATTGCAGTGCAATGCTGCCTTTCAAAATGATGTTCTAGACTTTGTAGTTAACGATTCAGTTGACAGTTTAGCAGTAAAAGACCTACTCCTGTACATCCTTGTTTATTGCTTCTCGCCACTCTGATTTGTTGGGGAGACAGGTCTGTCATTCCTCAGCCTATAAAAAAGTTATGCCTCAACCTATAGCAAAAGATATGCCCTAGCCTGTAGAAAAGATGTGGCTTTTTGGGGTCTATCAAGCAGTTGAGATAAGAAGGTTGCAGGGTATTGGGATGGTGGTGGAGCAGGCATGGGTGGTTCATGGGTATCTACATTGTCCTCTCACAACAGCAAATGAACATTGCCCATTTCTCAAGCTCATTTACTCAGTTATACATTGTTACATATGAATAGCCTAGTGTTTATTCCTGTATGGCTATTACTTAGAAACTTTGCACAACAAGTGTTGACAAATGTAGATTCTTAAAGCAGCTGCACCTGGATCCTAAGGAAGATTCATGAGATTGTGTCTCTCACTGGGCTCTATGGAGCGGAGGTTATTATGAAAGTGGAGCTCACAAAGCTGTATGTAATTCATGCATACCTGGTCTCCAGACTTCTGCATTGAAATAATGAGAATTGTCCTTTTTTGTTAAAACTAGGTTAGAGTTGGGTATCAACATCATGCAAGCCTTGTGAAACAAATCAGAAGCATTCACTAATTTTGAACTATCTGGAAGAGTTTATGTAAACTCTTATTTATTATCTAAAATATTCACCATTGGTGGCATTACATATGATATTTTAAGCTGCGAGTTTTAAAATAACACTTTTATTTAAAACTATATTTAAGTGTGTATGTGTGTGAGCATGTGTGAGTGTGTATGTCTGTGTGTATCTGTGTGTGTCTGTGCAGGTAGGCGCCCACATGAGTGAAGTTGTCCCTGGCAGCCAAAGGTATTGGATCTCCCAGAGCTGGAGTTACAGGTGGTTTTGAGCTGGCCAATGTGGGTTCAGGAAACCAAACTTAGGACCTATGCAAGAACAGTAAACCACGGAGCCACCTCTTCAGCACCACATTCTTTTTTTTAGACTAATATTAGAGGGCCACTCAGATTTTCTGACTTTCTTGTTAGTTATGACAGTTTGTGTTTTCTAAGAATTTTCTACTTGAATTACATTTTCAAAGATATCCAGTAGAAGTCATTTATACTATGTTGGCATGTCTTCCCAACACTTTATTATGAAAATATTCACTGGACAAAAAATGTTTGAAGAATTCTTCAAATGGATGAAGAACTCATCCATTCTGTGTCTCACTTATTTCAGTTTCTATAATGATTTTCAGATCCATCTATATCGTTTTAAATTACAGAATTTCCTTTCTTTGTTCTTTTTTAGTTTCAGTAACACTATTCCATTGCTATACAACATTCATACATATTCATATGCTGCTAAATAACATGGAATAGTTTTGAGAATTGCATTGTTTGGAATTTTTGTGGTGCAAACATTACAGACTCCACACACACAAACTAAGATAGCTTTGACGGGGTCTTTTGAAACCATTGTCATAAAGGTGACCTACCACATCACTATGTCACCCAGGGCTCCGCAGGCTCCATTTCCTCAACTTACTCATCTGGTGATGGACATTCAGGTTGATGTCATATCCTGGGAATTGTGATCAAGTACTGTTGGATAAAACCACACCCAAATCTTCCAAGCCTGTGTTTGTCTATCACCTTATTTAAGGTGGCAGTGCTAATATTATTGCTTTTATTCATTCCATCTTACCATTGCAGACGTAAGTCAGCTTCCTACCTTTCAAATCTGAGGGCAGTTATAGCTTGTAATGCATAGACATCTCATTTACTAATTTTTCATGAATATGAATTGAACCCACTTCCTGTAACAGGAAGAGAGATCAAACTGGTGGAAGAAGTGGGTCAGTATGTAATTTTGGAATGAGGATATCTTGACAAGAAGGTTAGGCAATACCTAAAGGAAAAAGGGAGAAAACAAAAGACATAGAAAAAGTAACCATGGAGACATCTACAAACATATTTTTGAAAGAGCAGATTATATGATCAGAAGCATATTTGGTGAAGAACAAGAGAAGAATCATGTGATGAGCTCAGGTCATGGGGGCAGCAACTCTCAGGTAGGAGACTTCAGCCCACATTTAGGAATTTGCTTTTCCTGGGGGTTGGGGGTGGGACACGTGTGTGATATGACTGGACTTAACTGCATGATTGACAAGAAAGGGCGGCTGGATACACATGGATGATGCTGCCAACGCAAGAAGCATAAACACGAAGCCCAGCTGGAGAAGCTTCTGTCTCCCGCTCTGTGTGGTGACGCTGGAAGAGCAGCAGCATAGATAGGGGGTGGCCGAACCCCCTTCTGTTGTTGAACCCAAGAGAATTTTCCAGAGGAAACTATCCTTTGCATTGTCAGCTAATCATTCACATTTCTGTGCATTAGCCCCTTAAAGTAGATCTCCCCCAAATCCTTTCATCTCAACCTTCCTATCACTGAAACCACACTCGTCTACACTTGAAGGAGGAGAGAAAGGATGATCTGTTTCAGGTCGAGGTGAGCCTATGGGTCCTGCAACTGTGAATGCATTCACCAGTGCTCCGTTTTATGACCACTTATGAAAATCGCAGTGGAATGTTGTAACAATTCACCAGTGGCCCACTAGATGGTGACCTCTACTAAATGTTCACACCACTTACAGCACTGGGGTTGTGATTATGCTTTATGAGACGCATGGACAACTTTAAGATATTTGAGTTGAAAGGCACAGTGGTGGTAGCTGTTAGGAGCAGAATTTCTGAAACTTCTTTATATTCAGAATTTAAGATTTGGGGTCCTTGCTAAAGTTAAGTTTGAATCATGTTATGGAAAAGAAAGATAAAATTTTAGGTTCAATTATGTTTATTTGACTTTTAAAATAATATCTGACTTCATGAAATCCCTGAGAACACTGAGCTTCCATGCCATGACTTCTTATTTTTGTGAGGAAGATTTTGGATCAACAGTACTGGGTTCAGTAGCTTTGCCCTAAATTACCTTAGACTTCAAACACCATCTCAGAAAGAACTTGACTTATGGTTCATATAAAGTGTTTTGGGAAGTTTTGATATGATTATACATGGAGATATTTGTAATAACAACAAAGACAGCCTTGCCTCTGGACATCCTTGTGGAATAAGAGGTAGAGGGACACTATAACATAAATCCTAAAGTTAGGTAGTTAGTAGTGATTATACTTAGGTGTTTATTAGCTTTTATTCATTTAGTTTCTGCAGTCTAGATTTTCTATATGCTACAGCAATAAGATGGGGAAAGGCTTGGCAATTATAAAACCTAGCTTCCATACATCTTTAAAAAAAATCCATGAGGTTAAACAAACTCACTAACCATGCAGTGGTGGCACATGCCTTTAAACCCAGCTCTTGGGAGGCAGGGTCAGGGTCAGGGGAATCTCTGTGAGTTCCAGGCCAGCCTGGTCTACAAAGCAAGTTCCAGCCTCCAAAGCCACAGAAAAACACTATCTTGAACCCCCCCCCCACACACACAAAAGAATATCAAGTAATTATCTCATGGTTCGGGGTCAACAAGATGGATTTTCTGCTGGCTTTTGGTTTGCCCCATAGTCAGATGTGGTTTGCCAGCACCTGAATAACTAGAGCAGCTCATTCCATTGTCATATCCAGAATAGCAGGCTCCCGATCAGAGCCAGGGGATAATACATAATTCATTGGCCACCAGGCTAGCTTGGTTTTATTCCTATGTCTGCCATGGAGAAGTTCCCAAGCCAACCATGATAGAAGCAGAAAGGCTCTTGCAGTTTAGACCTAAACTTACAAAGTTTCATTGCACCCCATTGGTCAAGTAAGTCCCACTGAGAGCCCTTAGGGTGGGGGAATAGACACTGCCTGCTAATGGCATTACAAACAAAGAACCCGTGCCTGTGACCCCAATATTAAAACTTTCATAAGCATATTTCCAGTCTCTACCTCTTTGCCTGCAGAATTCTTTTTTCTTTTAAGATTTTATTTATTTATTATGTATAAATTTTTTGTTTTTACAGATGTATTTATTTATATTATGTATACAGTTTTCTGCCTGGCTGTATGCCTGCATGCCAGAAGAGGACACCAGATCTCATTACAGGTGGTTGTGAGCCACCATGTGGTTGCTGGGAATTGAACTCAGGACCTCTGGAAGAGCAGTCAGTGCTCTTAACCTCTGAGCCATCTCTCCAGTCCTGCCTGCAGAATTCTTGTATAGGCAATTTAATATACACCTTGCCTTTCTAGTTAACAGTAACTCATTTTTGTACGAGAAAGACAGTACTTGGGATAGCTCTGTAAGAATGAGTTCCCCAGACACAGAGATTTATGTCCGTTTATAGGGAAAATTATACATGAATGAACAGGGGATTGGAAAGAATCACAGGCTCTGAGACAGAAAGCAACAGCACAGTTTGAGGTTGGCTCATGGAAAGGAGGATGAGGAAGGCTCTAAGAGGCAAGCTGGGGGTGGGGGAGCTTCAAATATCTAGAGGTCTTCCGTGTAGAGTAAGGGCTCAGCCTCTCCCATGAACTCATTAAGAATATGCTTTCAATTCCTAAGGGGCAGCCCTGTAGCACCTCCATTGAGGGGAGGGGAAAGAGCTGTACACATATGTACTTGTCTGCAGAGGAAACCAGAGCAAATCCAAGTTGGCTGAATTGGAGGGTACTGGTGTGCCACGGAAAGTTTGTGGAGATTTGGGAGGTGAGGTTTCATTGTCACAACACAGACGTGAGAGAAGTATAAACTGGAACGCGGAACAAGAAAGAGCCCAGGTGTCATATCATTGTGGAGTCAGGGGTCTGAGAGTCTGCGTGTTTAGGAAATATGACATAAATCAGTCAGCCCTCCAGATGGTTCTATCCCTGAACTTCCTACCTCTGACAGAGTGCAGGAAGTGAGGTGCCATCCAGACTGCAGGTGGGAGAGATCAGTGTGACAGAACAAAGCAGAGAGGAAAGCCAGCTTAAGGCTCTGGTGACCTTCTTTATTATGGGGCACATTAGCTCCAAATATAATTCAAAAGGAAGTGAGCTATGGACGTTTGCAGTTCTGTAAGAAAATCTGGTAAGTTAAAGTCGATCTTCAATGAGGCTTTCATTTCTAAAGATGATACAGGAACACGAGCTTTAGGTTTGAATAAGGGAGTCCTGATCATTCTCTATTTCCCCAATCCAAAGTATGTTAAGATTCAGAGCCCATTCTGAGAATTACATACAGTTCCTACTCTGCCCTGTGGTTTCAAATGAACTGTCTCTGAAATCAGGGCTACTGGTTTATTGGCTCTTCTTTGTTTCAGAGGATCTTATAATGTCCTTCACTGTCTCCGTGGCGATTGGACTTGCAATCGGAGGATTCCTCTGGGCGCTGTTTGTTTTCCTGTCTCGAAGAAGAAGAGCCAGCGCACCCATCTCACAGTGGAGTCCCTCCAGGCGACCCAGGTCTTCCTACAACCATGGCCTCAACAGGACTGGATTCTACCGCCACAGTGGCTGTGAGCGACGGAGCAACCTCAGCCTGGCCAGTCTCACCTTCCAGAGACAAGCTTCCCTGGAGCTGGCCAATTCCTTCCCCAGGAAATCAAGCTTCAGGGCTTCAACTTTCCATCCCTTCCTTCAATGCCCACCGCTTCCCGTGGAAACTGAAAGTCAGCTGATGACTCTGCCTGCCTCCACCACCACCCCATCGGCCATCAGCACGCTGCACAGTGCCAGCCGGCCCGACTTCCGCTGGTCCAGCAACAGCTTGCGGATGGGCCTTTCCACACCGCCGCCGCCACCTGCCTATGAGTCCATCATCAAGGCATTTCCCGATTCCTAAGTCTGGGCATTCGTTGTTATTAATTCTTTTTTTTTAATTTTTTTTGTCTCTTCTAGAAAGGAAATGATATGTACGGTAAACAGACTTTTGGGGTCACGGGTCCTAGTGATTGATTTTTCAAGTTGATAGGCTCATGGAAGCTGAGCATTGCCAAGTAAGGCACAGTTTCGTTTGAACACGTTTTTCTTATGTGTGTCTCACTAAAGTATCATTTTCTCAAAAAGTCCTATATTTATGGCTTTTGAATTCAGTGTGAGGCATTGCATTGAAGATACCGATTAAAGATTTTAACAGACAAATCATGCATATTTTTATGTTTTGGTTAAAGACTTTAGATGTTTTTGTGTAGGGTTGCAATCCCCATTCACTTTCCCAGGTGACTGCTGACAGACAAAAGTCACTGAAATCAAGGAATTTTAATGTTACTTGCTGGGTGACAAGTGAGTTAGTTGCATCCTAGAATCTCAGAGCTTTAATGAGGTGTGTGCACAAAATGACGGAACAGAGAATGTTCTAAATATCCCATGATTCTACTCAGTTATGTATGAGAATCAAGCAAAAAAGCTAAGCTTGGTTGGTGTCACAGAATGGTTCAGTTTTGACACTTCCTTGTTTGTTTCCCAGATAGACTCATTTTGTAGTTCTTCCCAGTATAATTACCAATATCATTGAAGTAAAACCCTTGGATTTAGTAACATGAGGATTGAACATGACTGCTGTGGTTATTACCAAAGCAATGGTTTCTACAATTAATTTGTCCTAAGAACAAGTTTTTATTTTACATCAAGTTACATTTTTCTTTCTTGGATTTGGATCCAATGACTAGGAAGGCACTTTATCTAGGATAGTGTTTCTCAACCTATAAGTCACGACTATAGGTTGGTCTAATAGCCTTTCCAGAGTTGTTGCCGAAGACCATCTGAAAATAAGATAACATTATAATTCATAACAGTAGCAAAATTGTAGTTATGAAGTAGCAATGAAAATATTTTTATGGCTGGAGGTCACCATAACATGAAGAACTGTATTAAAGGGTCCCAACATTAGGAAGGTTGAGAACCATGGCTCTAGGAAGAATTTTCCTATTAACTCTGTGGTCAAATAAAGATTATTCTACAGAGAGATAGTCCACCGAGGAGACATGCTCCCTCTCTGAAAAGCAACTCCCCTGACCCAGGTACTGTCCCCTGGGGTGATGCTCTGTGAATTCCATCTCCACCTCCTCTAAAGTCTTTCCAAGGTGACTAATGCAGGCTATAAGCCACTGTTTCAGATGGTCACTCAAGGAGTCCACATCACAAGGTGGAGGCATCTTTAATGTGAGGACCAGAAACTTTCAGTGGTTCTTTTGCTCAAAGGATAGTTCACTGGGGGATTATTCAGAATCTGATACATCAAATATTTAGCTTGTGTTTTGTTTGTTTTTCTGTAGATTGGAGTTTTGCAGTGATACCCACTGGTCCCAGCCATCTGTGTCTGATCATAGCTCAAAAATATACCTATTTGTATAAAAGATCCCCTATAGAATATCTTTATTAGTGTCATAGGATTTATATTATCCATTGTTCCTCAAGAGAAATTATTCTTCAAAATGCCTACCAAAATATCTTGTAATTAAATATGCAAGAGAAGAAGGAAGGAAAAAATAAAGCAAAACAAGAATCTCAGATGCATTGGCAGCTGACTTAAAAAAAAAAAAAAAAAAAAAAAAAAAAAAAAAAAAAAAAAACTAAGGAAATGTAGAGACTGTAACACAGCCCCAGTAAGATTTTGCAACATCATCAGCTTAGTGACAAGGCTAATTTTAGGTTGCATGTCATCTCTAATGTTTAACATGAGGAGCAAAAAGGCAAGCTTTCTATCAGTCCTGGGGATGAAGACTGTCCCCACCTCCCAAGGGAAGGAAATGAGAGTAGAAGTCTGCTGGTTCATTTGGCTATTTGGCAGAACTCTTGATAATTCAGCCCATGTTATAAAATGACCAGGAGGACCATTTTTTAAATCGTGTATTGTAAAAAATGTGAAGTTAAAACCAAAGCTGGAAGAGCTTTTAGTTGTAATTGTTTTATTTGAAATGTTTTGTTGATTTTGAAATAAAACTGATCATCAATTTCAATTCACAGTTTACTTCTTGACTAATAAAAAACACCTTCTAAGATAAATGTGAAACAGAAAAATACATAATTTGTGAGACAGAGTCTCACTATTAGCATTGGCTGGCTGGAACTTGCTATGTAGAATAGTAACTCCAGGGATTTGCTTGCCTCTGCCTCCTGTGTAATAGAATTAAAATCTTGACTACCATGCTTGCCTTAAAAAAACATAATGGAGAAATAATGTGGAGTTCAAGAATTACTAATTGTGACCAGGCGTTGATGGCGCATGCCTTTAATCCCAGCACTTGGGAGGCAGAGGCAGGTGGATCTCTGTGAGTTCGAGACCAGCCTGGTCTACAAGAGCTAGTTCCAGGACAGCCTCGAAAAGCCACAGAGAAACCCTGTCTCAAAAAACCAAAAAAAAAAAAAAAAAAAAAGAATTACTAATTGTCCTTGGTATGGGGGCACATGCCTGTAATTCCAGAACTCAGAATTTTGAGGAAGGAGATTCCATCATGAGTTTGAGTCTAGCCTGAATTATACAAGATCTAACTTTAAAAGCACAAAACTGTTATTGAATAAAAACATCTAGTAGGCCACTGTTTGTAAATGCAGGCACCAAGTTCTTTCCCCACAAAAATATATAGCAGAGACAACATAATGGATAATTTTTAAAAAATGTAACAAGTATTTACGACAAAAGTTAACTACTTTGTCTACTAAGTTAATTACTTACTTATAAGAGAGCATGTTACATCATTATTAGCAAATATATGTAGAAAAGAGGGTCCCTCCCATGTTTCTGGTGAGCAGGTACACCAGGTCTGCCTTTTAGAAGAGTCTAATGAAATGTACCAAAGAGCCTTGAATAGCTGGGTGTTGTAGCCTGAGCCTATAGTCCTAGTACTCGGGAAGTGGAGGTAGGAGGATCAGGGGTTCGAGGTCATTATCCACCACATAATAAGCTTGAGATCAGGCTAAGCTATAGGAAAGCCTATCTCAAAATTAAATAAAGTAGAATAAGATCCCTATATCGATTGACCTCAACATGTCTGTAAGGCACATAATTTTCTGTAAGAGAAGTTCTGATTTATTTTTAAGTGGTTCAATCCTGATATAGCTATGTACAACTGAACCAGAACATTCTATAATGTGGTAAGCAAATAACCAAATTTACTGAGTTGCCCTTTGAGACAAGAAATGGCTAAGAGGAAGGGAGAGAGCCAGAGAATTGCCACCATCGCTGACATGGAGGGGAAAATGACACTGGAAACACAGAGACAGGGATTAGATAGACTACAGTGTCCTTCCAACAAACCCCATGCCTGAAGGTAACATTACCATTCTATGACTCTATCACTTGAAAAAAAATTGACTCCCCAACTTGTTAAAATGACAGCAGAAGAGAAATACATTCTTGGGGTGTGCACTGGGATAGCTCCTCCCTGACTCAGGCAATTAGACCTCACACAGCCCACTCATAGGAACACTTTCTTTGAATTGTTCTAAACCTCACTCAAGAGTGGGGGGCTGATGAGGGCAGGCAATGCTCTCAGCCCGGGACACCTGTGAGGATCCCAGCCCCTGATTCTCTCCTTTCACAGGCACTGTGATCCTTTATCTTCTAAGCAAGTATAACTAGGTGCCCTGGGGGGCACTGTGACTTTTATGAGTCCACCACTGTGGCAGAATCCCAGTTCCAAAAGGAAACTAGAACACATCTGCAGAGAGGGATTCATTTCCTTTGTAGAATTCTGTGGCAAGGGACCAGCAGAATAGAATGCAGCTGGTGTGTGATTGTGCATTTCTTCAGTCAGAGGAAAGAATTCTCATGGGCACTGGCAGACGGGTGAGCAACTACAGACATATTTCTTCTCTTCCTGTTTAAAAACTCATAGGCCAACCACTTACATGCTCCCGTGACTTTTGTAAAAACATCTTTCCATACAAGGTAGTGCTATACACATAGTATTTTTCCAGGTGTCCGTATACCTTAAGTGTATTCCTGCATTGAAATAATGCAGGGGAACACACTCCACTTGTCTGAGTTGATTAGAAAATCAGAGCCATCCCTGCATAGCTGAAATAGAAGGGTTGTCATCTCAGAGGCTTTCCATGTAGACACTGTTTACTAGAGAGCTTTTTATATTGTAGGTGGTACTTCTAAAATGGATTCCACAGTCAAAACCATGTAAGACACAGGATTTGGATGAATGTCTCTTATTTGGGCAAATGAGTAGAAGGCAGTCATGGGAAGCACTTGCCTGTAGAGGCTGTTTTAAGAAACACTGAGGAAATAACTAATCACATTCTAAAAGGTGTGACCAGGAAGACCCACGACTGCAGGGTTAGGGTGGGTTGATACAGCCAAATGGCCTTGCTGCCTGTAGTTTGTCCTCTACAGCCACTGGAAATAACCTTAGAAATAGATATAGTTATGAGCTCTGGGATTGCCAGAATGCTAGGGACATCATGATTCTAGAATCTTTACTGAAAAAAAAAAAAAAAAACAAGCTATTCGAGGAAGGCGGTGCTTAGCTCCTTAATTGATTTCCTGACTAAAGTGAGGACAGGGGGAGCTGGAGCTATCCACTCTTCATGAACAGAAGGCAAATAGTGGAAGCGTCAATACAGTCATGGTGGCCACAGCCAGATGTTCCTTCAATGATGAAGAACAAAGGAGACACAGTTTTGATGAAGTGCAGAACAGAGAGCTAATACTGTTTGTAGAAACAGCTCAGAAGATCAATGGGAAAGTCATTGTAAGAGAAAAGTTAGAAAATTCAATAGCGGGAATTTAGCAAAATGTATCCCAAATAGAAAAACATAGAAACACAACTCCCCCTCCCCACCCTGCACAAAAGCCACTAACCCAAACAACAAAGAAAAGTCATTCTACTAAAAATCCACAAGGGTGGGAAGAGTAGTTCAATGATTACAGCACTTGGCTGATACACTTGAAGATCTGGGTTCCAGTCAGGACCACAAAAGCAAACACTGGCACTGATAATATTAGGGAAATGGAGGCAGGAGGATCAGAAGTTCAAAGTCACCTTCTGTTACATAGTAAGTTTAAGTCAGAAGGGAATACACCAGACTCTGACATTCTCTCTCTGTCTCTCTCTGTCTCTCTGTCTCTCTCTGTCTCTCTGTCTCTCTCTCTCTCTCTCTCTCTCTCTCTCTCTCTCTCTCTCTCTCTCTCTCTCTCTCTCTCTCTCTCTCTCTCCCCTGTCTCTCCTCTCTCCAGCTCTCCTCCTCCCTTTCAAAACAGTAAATCACAAAAAATAAGACACATTAGAATTTTGATGATTTATAATAGACACTTCCAAGACACACAGTATATCATTGTTGAGAACACCTCATGTATGTGTTTTAAAACAATCAGAAAAATTAAGAGAACGGACCCTAATACCATCTGAAGCTTACATGGACACACACACACACACACACACACACACACACACACACACACACACACTGTGCAAAACACTTATGAAAAATTAACTATTTCATATTGTTACTAGAAATTTGCCATGGAGTCAAATGCCAACCTCATTTTTTACATTTCTCTCTGCTGACCCCATCTCTCTTTCTCTCTCCCCCCACTCCTTCTTCCTCTGCTTCTCTCAACCTGTTTTGTCATCTCTTCTTTTGCTTCATATAATGCAAGAAACAATTTTGGTCACATGCTAGTGTATAAGACAAAGCCAGACATTTGCGAAATGACTTTACTTGACAATGGAGGAGAAAGGTTATGTGGGGAACACAGAACATTGCTTGGCTCCCTCCTGCTGCTTGTCAAGTCTGAGTTCCTATTGCTGACTGTCTGCCCATGTGTGGCAGGAACAATCACCACACCATGTGTAGTGGTGCTTAGGGAAGAAGGCTCTTGACCAAGTAGAAGTGGCAGTTTCTACAGCATGCTCAAGAGCCTGGAAGCAGGAGAACTAATATCTTGCAAATGACTAAAACCTTAAGAAATGACACTGAAGAGTCCATTTCTTCTGTAATAACAAGAAAAAAGAATTAAGCTATCCCACAAAAGAGAGGGGGGAAAAATCAATGACGTGTCAGTCATGTTGAAATTCTTCATCCTTGTACATGATCAAGTCTGACAGCATCCCCTCCTTCCTATGGCAGGGGTAATCCAATTATCCATTATGCACAGCAACAAGTTTCTGTCAAATTCCCAGTTCCATAGAAATAATTCTACGTTGGATTATGAAACCCTGTCAAACTGCTTCTAAAAACACAGAGGTTTTATATGTGCTGCTTTTATTCCTGAAGCTTGTAAACTGAAAAGTGTGTACATAAGAAGCACATTAATAAAAAATTATGCCAGCAAATGACCTATTTTCAGGAAAATAAGCATGCAAACAGATAGGTTACAGGTCATGTAGCAAGTGCTGGAAAGCATAAAATAGTACCAGAAATAAAAAGTGAAAGTAGAAGACACCAGACACAAAATTAAGTCGATTATATTCATTCCTTGTAAAAATTAAATCTGAGCCAGAGGGAGGCAGAGGCAGGGGGATCTCTGTGAGTTCAA